ATGAAAAACTTACGTCCTACACTCAGCTACAAAAAAAACATGTCTACATCTAACACAAATTATCTGAATATTAAATCTATAATCAAAGAGAACTAGTACCTATGCATTATGTTGTTTACATAATCAAAGCAGATACTCGCACGAGCTCATATGACCCCAACGCAGTGCCATCATTTTTTGGTGATTCGTGCTTATTCGTGACGGTATATGGGCTGGTGCGTGCAGCAAGGCGATGAGTGCCATTTATTCGCAGACCTGGGTTCGAAACCCCGTAGAGTGCGAATTTAATTTCTCTAACCTGTATGATAGTATTGTTTATATTAAACTATTAAATTCTGCCCACTATTATTAAGATTCTACTACAAAATCCAGAGATAGCACTCTGTTCTGCCTGGTATATATATATATATATATATATATATATATATATATATACAATTTATATATATATACAATTATATATATATATATATATATATATATATATATATATATATATATATACTTTTTCTATTTCTATAGAAAATAATCACTTGAATTAAAAAATGTGAAGAAAATAAATTTCAGCCCAAACAGGTCACAACATAATCTAACTTGAAGGTGATGGTGTTAAACCACGACTGTGTAAATCCTTACAATCACAAAATTATATTGTTCTCTACTTGACTTCAAGTCACAATTAGCATTTTCTAAAAATAAAGCATTTCCTAATGGAAAATAACCTACTAGAATGATGTAATGAAAATTGATTATTTACAACACAATAACCTGCAAAATTCACTTAGGAAATTCGAAAACCCCAACCTAGATAAAAGTAATTACTCCTTCTTGTTTACCTGAATAGTAATCGTATATGAACGTCATACACATAGAGAATAATCTAGCTATGCATTAGTTGTTAACGTAAATGAAATATAAAAGGTCAATCAGGTCCAGCAGAAATGAATTCAGTTTTGGACAAGGTCAAGACCAGAATACAATGTTACATTACAATAACGTGTAATGATTTGTTTCAGTTAACAAACAAACAAATTAAATATACATAAAAATGTAATCTGTGCACTTTATTTATGGTTTTCGATATTTCATATTTTTTATTCAACAACTTATTAAAATATTACTTTATGTTATTCTAACTGGTCGAAATAACCCATACAATTCTTGGACATTCACGTCTTTCCTGACTGGTTTCGATCGTGGGAATATTTTCCTTTTCACGTGTTTTGCAGACTGTTCGTTTTCCATCTGTGATTCCGGGAATAATCTATTTCAGTAAAATCTGTGCTGTCTGCGTCCACTATTTTCTGTTTCTAGTTTGAATATTTCTGAAACAAACTGAACATATAAATAGCAGGAACTCTTGTTCAAAGAGATATAAATCCAAAATTTACGAAATCACTGAGATTTTCAAAGACGGTGAACTATATCACGTATGTTGTTTTAAAATGCAGTCCGGCTGAAGTAAGCATCGTGACCGTCCTGCTTGAGAAATTCGCTTTTGATTCGAAACGCCAAGTTGACAATGCTTGGAATCCCCCAGGCTAGAACATGTAAGTCCATGAATGAAACAACAAAGTTAATACGTTTTTATTAATGTCTTATAGTTTTAAGAAACAGTTGCGGGTTGGGTTTACAATCGGACGGGAAGGTTAGAGAATACTGATGTTCAAACGTGCACTATATACAGACCATTTCGTGTAGTCCCTGTTGAATTTAATAAAATAAGAATCTATTTAAATTTTAAATTGCATTTTACATTTGTTGCTAAAATGTAGAAGAATGTATATTTCATAAATACTGCTTCGAGGAAAAACAGATTATGTGCCAACTGGTCAATTATCCCAAGTAAAATTCAGTATTTTTGAGAACAAAATGATATAAATGTTGACATCTATTCTTAATCTAATCCAGAAAACAAGGATTAAAGATATTTATTCATACAATCCCAAAATATGTGAGCTGGTTATCTTTTTGCTACTAAGGTTAAAGTTTTACAGAAACGACATGTCTTGGTTATCACGTTGCTACTAAAGATACTATATGTAACTAAAAGTCAATGCAGTATTTCAAACTGAAGTTTAGGACATTTATTCAAAGTGTATAAAGCAACTTAAAATATAACCATCTTCCTTGTGCATAGTATCTAATTCCATCCAGACTATATCTAACTTTTCGATATATTTGAAATAAGTCTCGGAGACATTTTTCGCAGTCTTGTTTGTCTCTAATTAATAGATAAGTACAACAATGTAAAATGGGTCGTTTTTTAAACATGGTCGATAGTTAACATCGTATTTATTTTTATAAACTTTTATTGAATTTACGAATATTACTAATTCTAAGAAGAAAGCTTTAACTTGAAATATGTGAATAAACGTATACTAACCAATCTATATAAACAAAATCGTTTACATACATAATTCTTTAAAAAGAATACTATAATTTCCAATTTTAGCATATGGATTATTATTATACCATGTATGTATCATAATTGCCTAGATGCATAAAAACATGTCCAAAATATATTGCGATTTAAATATTTTTTTTTAAAAACCCACAAAATCTTTTCCAAAGAAAATTTTAAAATAAGAGGAGGTCAATATATTTTTACACTTTCCATAAATTAATAAAACAGTGCTTACCCAGAGTCTGTTAAAAGAAAGGGACCTTGTTTGAAGCAAGTTTTGTATAGGGCAATAAATAATTTTCGGATAGTTTCACACACACACACTCACACACACACACACACACACACACACACACACACACACACACACACACACACACTTATCAATCTGTCTGAGCCAGGATTTGTATTACTTCCCATATTTTTCAAATTAACCTCTCTCCAAATATATGATAGGACCTTGTAAATATTAGGCTTGAGAATTATTCACTTTGGGTATATCTGCATAACCAAAATAGATTCTAGAACAACAATATCAACATGTTTATAGAACTATAACGTTTGATAGTACAATTTATTTTGTACTAAAATATCTTTCAGGCTATTAGTTAAAACTGCCATCCTATTGTCTGCTAAAATATATTTCAGGCTATTGATTAAAACTACTATCCTATTTTCTACTAAAAGATCTTTCTGACTATTAATTAAAACTTAAATCCTACTTTCTACTAAAATATTTTTCAGGCTATTGATTAAAACTACCAACCTACTTTCTACTAAAATATCTTTCAGGCTATTAATTAAAACTGCCATCCTATTTCTTTTACTAAAATATCTTTCAGGCTTTTAATTAAAACTTTCATCATCTTTTCTCAATTCAGGTATGACATTAGTAATACTTTTCTTAGGTTTACAAATAGTTACTGACGTCATTTTGATTCCTTCCAATATGACTTCCGGATTTCGGTATGTTGACCTTGTTTCAGTTCCCGAAGACAAGCTTCCCCAGATTTAATAGCTTATTCTTTCAGGGTTTTTTTTTTCTTGTGTATGCAGCTTTTCCAGCTGATCAATCTGTTCGTTAAGAAGGAAATTAAATGTTTTTTTTTCCGGATAAATTTATAAAAGTAACGTTCAAAAATTAATTGTTCATTTATTGAAAGCTCCATCTTTGGATCTCAGACGAAGTTAATAAAATATATTTGTTAAGGACCTACTTGCTTACGCTTACACTTCTTAATTAAATATAATCTTACTCTTTCATTGTGATGTTATTAAATTTTAAAATCTTTTTTTTTAAAAAAAAATTATGAAGGCTTGCATGTGCATATGAAAGCAAAATAAAAGTAAATAAAATATAGAACTTTTATGATTTTTTTGAATTTTATTAAAAAAAACCTAAAAGTTCTTTTTAATTTTTATATTTTGTTCTAGAGAAATAAATTATTTATTGAATGTTACAAAACTTTACTTTTTCTATGTTTAATACCATATTCCTAACAACCATAAATATTAACTACATAATTGTTGTTAAAAACATCTTTTATTAGGATCCACAATTCCCAACTACAATTAAACTATGCCAATAATAATATCCATTTTGCAAGAACATTGTTATAGTCCACAGTTTACCAACTTTATCTGCAATATTAAATGTAGATTAAATAAGTTAAGAAATACTTTCTGAGACATGCTTTTGTTGATGCTAAATATACAAGTACATTGAAAGGTTTTTGGCAAATGAAGAAAAGTAACTTGATCTTTAAGTACGACACAGTGATGGCAAAACATATCATAAAATAACCGCATTTGATTTCAATGAAAATATAAATATAGAGGACAATGATATCCAGATAACTCTATACTGTTGGTTAAAGGAAAAAAAGCTGTATTGCAAAAGGTCATGAAAAGAAGTGACTTTGCTCTCTCTCTCTCTCTCTCTCTCTCTCTCTCTCTCTCTCTCTCTCTCTCTCTCTCTCTCTCTCTCTCTCTCTCTCTCTCTCTCTCTCTCACACACACACACACACACACAATTTGATCAGAAAATTTTATATATCACACACTCACACATACACACAAATGCACGACACATATTAGAAACTGTAATAATATAAAGAAAGAGATACAAATTTTATTAGACTTTTAATTTCTTAAAAACAAAAATATGAAAAGATCGTGTCTGCAGACGGCTAATATGCTATAATATGCCATAATCTGCAACCGTTTTATGTGTGGAACCCTCTCAAGCATTTCGCTATATTAGTTACTAGCCCATGACATGTACCCCTTTGGTTCGAACGTTTGAAACGGTTTTTATATGTGTATGTTTCCACTGTAGGTCTGTAATTGTGGTGTGGTGTTTATAATTTTTTAACGTAGCTTTTAACAATTTTCAGTCATATCGCTACGATGTCTGCACTGTGTGGCAGTTTATAGTGCTGTCTAGCACTGGGGCATCATGCCGATGACCTGTAGCATGATGTCCCACCCAGTCCCATTATTCTGACACCAGGCTGACCAGTCCTAACACTAACCTCTTAATGCTGAGCGTCAAGCGATGCAGCTGTTAGTACCATTTTTGTAAGTTTTAGTATGACTCGACCGGGGATCGAATCCACGACCTCCCCATCCCAAGCGGACGCTTTAACCATTAGGCCACCGGAGCGGTTGTCTGTAATTGCGTGATTTCATAATAAAAAAAATCAATTCAAGAAGATATTTAATGCAACAAAATTATTTAGATATATTATTTTTGATTGGTGTTTATTTTTCTAAACCTTTTTTTAATAGATTTGTACTCATCCGGGCTCCAGTTATTGGGTCTCCTGGTTTTGCTCTCATGAGTCTAAAAGAGATTTAAAGGGTTGCTCTCCCCTCTTCCTCGCTCATATTTTGCCTTTGGCTGGTGTCCTCCCATTTTGTCTATGTCAGAGACCTTCCTATGACCCAATGTGTGAAATCTGTAGTTTTATCAATAGTGTGTTGTTTCTGCTCTGCCATTAAATCTTTCTTTATGCTGGTTTTAATTGTTCATATTTCGTTTTGAACTGTTCTTTATTTTTATGTTGTCATTTTTTATAAATAAACTGAGAGATAGAACAAAAAAAAGTATGTCAAGAAGTTCGTCACGTTAACAGTTTATAATTTCGATTTTTTCGTCTTTTTTTTGAAAGAAGAAAAGAGACATTTTGGGAGGAAACATAATGTTAAAAGAATAATAGGAAGGAGAGCGTCTGTTAAATGTTAGCAGACTGCTGGTTTCTCCAATTTTGTCTGGTGCTGCGTTAGTGTATGTGTTGGTTATTTCATTTAGTTTCAAATCTACTTTCAAAATTTCACTTTTATGAGCACAATGCATCATAAATTACAAATGATTAGTTGTAACGTAACCGTTCTCTTTTTTAAATTCATTACATTAAATTTCAATCGAATGTTTGTATCAATTTTAGAATATGTAGTCCAGCCATCTCTAGTGTGTGTATGTGTATGTATGTATGTATGTATGTATGTATGTATGTATGTATGTATGTATGTATGTATGTATGTATGTATGTATGTATGTATGTATGTATGTATGTATGTATGTATGTATGTATGTATGTATGTATGTATGTATGTATGTATGTATGTATGTATGTATGTATGTATGTATGTACGTACGTACGTACGTACGCATGTATGTATGTATGTATGTATGTATGTATGTATGTATGTATGTATGTATGTATGTATGTATGTATGTATGTATGTATGTATGTATGTATGTATGTATGTATGTATGTATGTATGTATGTATGTATGTATGTTATATATATATATATATATATATATATATATATATATATATATATATATATATATATATATATATATATATATATATATATATATATATATATATATATATATATATATATATATACCAAATATGTTCCGACATTAACTGTGAAAATAATTGAATGTAGTCCCAGTCTTTTCATTGAGCATTTAGTAGTAGAGGAAAACCAGATTTTAAGCTCATCCCCTATTTTTTGCCCTTCCAAACAAATACAAACTATATCCTAAACTATCCCCCAACCCTTTTTTTTTTTTACAAAAGTATTAGTAAGGTTTTTAGCTCACCCCCTCTCTGTTATTACAGTGTTAGATAATGCCATGTATATAATCGGTATCCAGGTAAGCTTCATTATACTCTCCAGGTATGTTAACAGAAGCTCTGTTATTATACTACAAAAGGTGATACCCTACGTGTGTCATGTATTTTACAAAACAACAGGAGCAGGCAGGTGTTTTTGTATTGTTACAAAACAACAGGTGTAGGGATCGGTAAATTATCCAGGTAAACTCGCGTCATACAGAGGTTGTCGAATTTGTTAGAACAGGCGCATGCGTGGAATGTTCACGAACTAGACTAAAGACAGCAAGATCAGTCTGCCGCGAGTTTTTCATCAGATAACATGTGCAGGGTGGAAATTAAACTAGGCATTAGAGCGTGGCGATTTCAGTTAACACGTGGAAGGAGGAAATTAAACTACGCATTAGAACGAACGCGAGGAAGGTAAGTGATATTATTTTATATCTCGTTACCAATGATTAATGTTTCAACTGTTGATATTAAAAATACTTCAGTATCACGATTGTAGAGACTAAATTTTACTTTACCGCTCACACAGCGACGGGACTCAAACAAATCTCTTATCTGTGGTTTGTTTAGAGAATATTTTTGTCGATAAAATATACCTTTGACCGATCGAGATCAATTGTGAGTTTAGTATATTTTTGTTGGCTAATTGGACTGTGAAAGTTTTTAAATTCCGCTACCAACTTTTGATACAATTGTTCGAGATAATTGAAATGGTCGCTGTTATCAGATTTGATAAGTGAAAGTTTTAGCTTGTCACGTGTTCCAAGAAAACATGTACCTGATGTTTCATTATTAAATTCAACTGTCAATTGTTTGCCGTCCATCATTAGATATTTGATTTTACTACTGTAGCTACTTGTCATTGTCAAATTTTTAAACATTATTTTATAAGTTTAGATAAAAATTTAGTCACAATGACAATACCCAAGGGCAAGTGTATCTACCCCATTTTCACAATAACGTTTGTCATCAAAATTACACAATCCACGTTTGATAATGAGATCTGTTTCAAGATTATGATGATTAGTCCGAATTGCCATAGCTCTCATAACACTAACACCGCCATCAAGCGCGTACTTGTAGTCATCAAATTTCATAAACTTTTTAACAAAATCACGAGGCAGACCTTTTGCTTTTTTCGTGATTTTATTATTGTCTAACAATACGGCATACATTTTGCTGCGTAATCCGATAAAATATTTGATAGCGCTAGAGTTCATTTCATCTTTGAACTTACCAATCACTTTTTTATTTGTGTCGTCATGAAATTTACTGTCACGTGAGTAATCAGAAAGATCAAACAGATGTCGATTATTTTACATGTCCTGATATATTTCCTCGCATTTGATTTCATATACGAGCGAATCGGTATCAGTAAACAATAATCTACTGGCCGGCCATTGAATTTTAGTAAAATGATAATGAAAATCATACATCAGCCACTTTGATAAATCTAACACTGAAGCTCCAACGTAGATCGGCTTGTTTAGTTTTAGATTTGTTTTTCTTCTTTGTATCGCAACAAGATTCTCATTAAAAATTTTCATGCTCACAAAATCATCGTCTGACACAAGTTTGTTTCTGCGATTGACATCATTAACTAGTTCGATATTTACGCGTTTCCTAGTATTCTCCATCGTCTTACTCGTCTTACCAAAAACGGAATTGTTCATCAGTTTAAAGAAGTTTTTCTCAAAATCTGTTTTTGCTGCAGCCCTTCTTGAAATGTTTGAGTTAATGTAACCTCTCATCCACGGAGACTGATTAAATTTTAGTACACGATGAACTTTTCTCAACACTAGACCAGCATCGACTGCTTGCTTTAAAACTTTGTAATGCAAAACGTAATTATGTTTATCAAGTAAATTTGGTACTAGTTTCTTGACCATGGAATGTTGCCTTGGTGATGCTAACGCTTGTTGTTCTTTTGATAACAAACTATAATCTATGACCATCGATTCTGCGCAGAAAGGATAATCGTTATGCAATTTGTGTAGCCAAGTTGGATAATCAAGATCAACTTCAACGAAATATGAAACATCGTCAGGTATCTTGTTTTCTGTTTCAGATAGAAATCGATCAGCCGTGATCCAATGAAATCCACCAAGAGGCATTGGTTCTATCATTGAACCACCGTACAAGTTGTTACAATCTAGATAAATTATATACTTTGAAGGGAGCTCAGGATTATACTCTTTCAAATATTTGTTGTTTGCTTCAGCATATTTTTTCGTTATGACGCTAATACCGCCTCTGATACCTTCTTCGATAAAATTGAACATATCAACGTCAGTCAGTAATTCTAACCTTACCTTACTAAACTTTAGCAGAGCATCCCATGACAGCCCAGGGGCAGAATGATACCAGCAAGGATCTAGTCCATAATTATTATAACTCACTTCTCGAAAACTTTCAAAAACATTTGCTAATAATAACACGTCAGTTTTCAAATACAAATCATGATAATCACCAAACGTCTCACAATCAAACTCTTTCCAGATATCTTGTGCATACTTGTTCTCATCATCGGTTATATTTTCATTTTTAAGTTGCCAGTAAAATTTGTCTTTGTCAGGTAAAGATGTTTCATCAAATTTACTCCAATCGTTGAGATATTTATACGGAAATACCCCTTTTTGAGCTAGTAGATTAAATTTGTCTCCAAAAAATCTCTTAGGTTATCAAATTTAATACAACCTTTTACTAGCTCATCTAACGAGGCTGCCATAAACTGCAGGCTGTCAATAAAACTTAATTTACCTAGCGTAACTGACATATACTTTTCAAAATTATTTGGAATACATTTGATGATGTTATCGAGTTTCATCCGAGCTTTTATGTCAGGATCACCAAAAAGCTTCTACTATAATGTGACTATCATATCCTCGAAAATTGTGAAGAATAACCGGAATAAAATCTGGAGCATGAAATTTTAAATTACACTGATCATGAGCCGCTCCACTGTACTGTCCGGTCAAATGGCAATGGTCATGTACTTTTTTGTCAGTCCTGACATTGCCAGGGTCAAAAGCTTTTTCACAAATATAACAAATTTCCGCTTGCTCGTGATCAGATTCTTGTTGAGGTGTTCATTTAATCATTGGCGTTACTCTTTTCAAACGATAAGTAATATTATCAACTTCGTTAATCAACTGCTTGAGAAGCCAGACAGCGGGATTTTTACCACGATATAATTTGATTGGTTTAGATAATCTAGAATCAGTACAACAAACTACCTTATACGCTACTCCACACGGAACATGATTTTGAATTTTTCTTGTACTCGATTGATTAGGATTATTTTCTACGCCAAGTACAGGTTGAAGTAAACATTCAAAATCAGCGTATATGACGAAAGGATTTTTTAGTTTGTAATTATGATGGACAAACTGTAACACACTATCTTTTTTAGATGGCATTGTTATTCTTTGTACATCACTACAGTACTGCAAATGATTTTGTAATGTTTCATTGTTTGTACAACCGTGCAAGCAGCGGTAACAAAAGAACTTTTTGTTCTT